GAAAGTAACTGCGGGTGGAGACGCCGCCTTGAGATTCCCGCATCGAACGCCATGACGTAAGAAATTTTTGAAGGCGTCTGCTGGGCCTCGCGTAGCTTTCAATCGATAAAAATTAAATACATTGTACTCTGCGCGTGTCATAGACCGATCATACGAAGTTTCAGAAACTTTATCGAGCCAAAATGACGAGTATACGAAAAATACACTTTGAAAATTTGTTTACGTTACGCGCGTACACTTCAGCGCGAAATTTAAAATCGATTCGACCTTTCTTTTCTCCGCTAATAATGAACATATGATAGGGAAACGTGTGACATCAGAGTTCCCAGAGTGAAGTTTGTCCATCTGAACAAAGTGATTGTTTCTCTGTGGTATGCCATCCAGGGAGATACTGTGCCTCCATAAAATGCGTTTTTGTTTTCTTCTTTTCCCTAGGATAGGTTTTGCGGACCTGCACTAATAGCTTCATGGATCTTCAGTGGTCTGGGATCTACCGACCCGTACTTGAGAAACACTGTTAAGGGCGATAACTCTCCGTATCGCGACACATCAGTGAATTTCAGCTGTCATCACTGTCTAAAGCAGATATATCTGTAACTCTGCATATTAAAGAATTACGGGAAAGTTACGGCTGCGCTTAATGCTGTGTACCTGAGTTTGCATCCCCCTTATATGATAAAGAGGGTGCCACCTTCACCCCCCCCCCCCATTTTAAGGTGCGCTCGCCCACTTTTGTGTTCACCTTGTTTGGAAACATAACCGTGAAACAAAAATTGTATTTCACAATCGGCGCCCAGATTCGAGTCAATTTGGAGATCGGCATCGACATGTTGTTAGAATCTGGCAACAAGCGTCTTTCAGAAATGACCTGTATACATATGAAAGTTTTCTTTCATAAGAAAGAAAGAAAGGAAGAAAGAAAGAAAGAAAGAAAGAAAGAAAGAAAGAAAGAAAGAAAGAAAGAAAGAAAGAAAGAAAGAAGAATCATGTCAGGTAGGATATAAAGAAAGAAAGAAAGAAAGAAAGAAAGAAAAAAAGAAAGAAAGAAAGAAAGAAAGAAAGAAAGAAAGAAAGAAAGAAAGAAAGAAAGAAAGAAAGAAAGAAAGAAAGAAAGAAAGAAAGAAAGAAAGAAAGAAAGAAAGAATCATGTCAGGTAGGATATAAAAACTTTAGCTTGCCTCCCGTTTTTACGATTTAAGTCAAGGCCTTGATTGATTGATATGTGGGGTTTAACGTCCCAAAACCACTATATGATCATGAGAGACGCCGCAGTGAAGGGCTCCGGAAATTTAGACCGCCTGGGGTTCTTTAACGTGCTCCCAAATCTGAGTACACGCGGCTACGACATTTCCGCCTCCATCGGAAATGCAGCCACCGCAGCCGGGATTCGATCCCGCGACCTGCGGGTCAGCAGCCGAGTACCTTAGCCACTAGACCTCCGCGGCGGGGCTTAAGTCAAGGCCTCCTGACTTCTTTTTTTCTCAATTAGTTGCCACTATTTTTCGAAACCTCACCTCTTTTGTGGCATCTACAATGCAGGATATCTCGCACTGTGTCGTTTGGCACGGCACTAGATGTTCGAATCCCTCGCTGCAACGAAGCCAGATCCGGCCAAATCCCAGAAACGATGCCCAAACAGAGGTTCTGAAGCAAGAACGCTGCACACAGCAATCAACGAAGTGGAGTGGTTTCGTCACTGCCCGATTCTTATTATGCTTCCGGTCTCCACGCCACCTGGTGACTGAGACGCACAAGTAGGTCACCACACGGAATTGCGCAGGGAGTGAAGCTTGTCACGTCTCTGGAAGGTCAGATCCAGCTGTCAGGCTGGATCTAAACGTTGGTGCCATATTTTGGAACCCCGGCATATAAAAATAGCAGCCGGCACATTGCTCATATATTGAACAAATCAAAAACCCTCTTTCGATTGTATTCGCTACTAAGTGAAACACATGTGGATGACATTTTCAATAGCATGCGTACAATCCAGCCATGTTTTTTTTTTATTCTTGTGTCAATTCACTCCGCTACTTTTATAAATGACAAATAGATGCTATTTATCGGTTCTATAGGCGACAAATTTGTCTCACCTATTACTGTCTATATGTAGCAATACGCACCAATAACTGTCGCCCATACATACATAATACATATTTATTGATCCTATAGGGGACAAATGGGTGTCTCCTTTTGAGCCCTAATGGTGCCAATGCGTGTCTATTGATTCTATGAGTGACAAATAGCTACAAACTAGGGCACCTTATTGGTCTTATCGGTGACAAATAGATGTGGTCAATTTGTGTGTGTGTGCGTGCGTGCGCGCGCGCGTGTGTGTGTGTGTGAGAGTGTGCGTGTGCGTGTGTGTGTGTGTGTGTGTGTGTGTGTGTGTGTGTGTGTGTGTGTGTGTGTGTGTGTGTGTGCGAGTGTGAGTGTGAGTGTGTGAGTGCGCGTGTGAGTGTGAGTGTGAGTGTGTGTGCGCGTGTGTGTGTGAGTGTGTGTGCGCGCGTGTGTGTGTGTGTGCGAGAGAGTGTGTGTGTGTGTGTGTGAGAGAGAGAGAGAGAGAGAGAGTGTGTGTGTGTGTGTGTGTGTGTGTGAGTGTGTGAGTGTGAGTGTGCGAGTGTGAGTGTGAGTGTGTGAGTGTGTGTGCGCGTGTGCGTGTGTGTGTGTGTGTGCGTGTGTTTGTGTGTGCGTGTGTGTGCGTGTGCGTGCGTGTGTGTGTGCGTGCGTGCGTGCGTGCGTGTGTGTGTGTGTGTGCGTGTGTAAATTGAATTGAAATAGGACCTGCAAAGTTCCCATACAGCTCTTATAGACCCAATACGATTTCCCTATCGTAGCAATAGATTTCTCTGATGGCATTTTCGCTAGTGTTACGACTTAGGAACACACGCCCGTACGTGCGTGTGTGACACATTGATAGTTTTAGTGTCGCTTAAAATACATTACGAAATACGAATACCTCTCGTCGCCGGTTCTTCTCGACCAATGGTCGGGGCTTCACGCTGTTGCGTTGGCAGTGGCTGAGTATTGAAGGCACTGCGTCAGGCTTCGACATTCCTTTTTCATTTGTAGCGTCATTGCCCCGCCGCGGTGGTCTAGTGGCTAAGGTACTCGGCTGCTGACCCGCAGGGCGCGGGTTCGTATCCCGGCTGCGGCGGCTGCATTTCCGATGGAGGCGGAAATGTTGTAGGCCCGTGTGCTCAGATTTGGGTGCACGTTAAAGAACCCCAGGTGGTCTAAATTTCCGGAGCCCTCCACTACGGCGTCTCTCATAATCATATAGTGGTTTTGGGACGTTAAACCCCACATATCAATCAATCAATTTGTAGCGTCATTTCGGCGAAGAGTGAGCGCTCGCACACAAAAAGTCGCCACCTTTGAAGTGTGCCGAACAAAGTGCGGCTCTCTTCGATGGCTGCCAATCATTTCGCTCGACTGCGATAGTCCACAGCTTTGGGAGCTTTACGCCTTTCGAAATAACGTGAAAGCTGGTCCCGGTGGTGGCACACGTGTTCAAGCATCCCATAGCCACGCATTTCGTTGGCAGCTCCAGCCTTGAACGCTTTCTAAACCCGCCGCTCGCGGTCGGGCGGCAGACAGACAAGAGTAATTTCGTGGCCCAGAGGTACGCTCAGCCACCAGCAGCGGCGGGCTTTTAGCAACGCCACGTCCGACTTGCCTGGGTACACCACTAGACACCTGCATCATCTGTTATACGACAATTGGATCACCGATTATAAACTATATTGTTGATAATACAGTCAAAGTCGCCGGCCTGGTGGTCTTTGTATTTCGCGGGCATCTGCAATAATAAAAAACGCAAATAATTAAGACGTGAAATCAGAAAGTGCCTAATCGGAAGATTTGCTAACAGATAGACTATTTTTCTCCAAATATTTCGCGACTAGCTTCGTTGTTTCAAAAGTAACCCCGGCTCAATAATTTTTTTTTCACTTTTGCATCATATAAGCTGATCGTAGAAGCACGGCGTTAGGAACTGGAAGTGTGTAGCCAACTGACAACCCTTGGCCCGGCCTGGCGAGCCGCTGTAGCCCTCCAGGACCTGGAAGGGAGAGCAGCGCCCCAACATAGTCGCAAACAACCTAAATTTCAACATGTTTCGTATTTTTCTTTCTCCTTTTAACCATCAGATTTTGAGCCATCCATCCATAGTGTGTCAGTCACATCGAAAAGGAGCACAGGACGAAGCAAGCAAACGATCAGAAACATTAGAGCACTATTTTTTATCATGTCGCCGATACAAATTGCTCAGGAAAACACTATTAGTCCTCCCATCCGCTAGCCGGGGGCTGAACTTCACTATAGAAAATATAGTTTCCTTTGGTGCTTCCGATCTGGACTTCAGCCACGAGAACATTTTCTATGCATGTTGCAATTACCTTAACTAAAGTAAAAGAATTAAGCTTTTAATTGCATTATTATTATTCCTGAAAAAAATCCAACATACACAGGAGCTTTGTTTAAATATGCTGATTCCTATTCAAGGTAATGAATAATTGTCTGATCTGAACGAGTGACAAACAACTATTGCACTCCTTTCGTTCTGCCTAGGGTGTCTTTTCTCTTTTCTTTCTTTTTTCCGGTGGGTGGTTTCGATATTGAATAGAAAAAAATCTTACTGAATTAAGTCATCGATTCTTGGCCGATCCCCCTGAGTGGGTACGAGCCATAGCTGTGGAATCATCATCATCATCATCGTCATCATCATCATCATCATCAGCTGTGTTGGGGGCTGGCTGGTCCCGACGAAGCAGAAGAAGATGGCCGACGGAGACGTACGCGACCGGCGGGGACGCCGACCAGCCCGAACACGCGGGTTGGCCCGAAGCGCCGAAGAAAAGAACAACAACCGCACTCCACGGTTACCCAACACACACCGATTTTATTTACAGTCGCCTTGAAATCCTGGATGCCAGAGCGGCGCCCCCTGGCATCCTCACATGTCATTCCGAAACCGAAACCTAGAACACAACATCATCATCATGTCGTCTGCAGTCTCCACCGCTCGAAATCAGCCTCATGGGCCAGCTGAAAACTTGCTCTACGTGTTTGTTGTCAGCCGACATGGCCCACGCACAGCCGTTATACCCTGTAAGAAACTGTTGAAGAAAGAGCCCGTCGACCACGGCCAGCTGGCCGAAAAAGGTCGAGAGCGGACCTTTAAACTGGGCCAGTTTCGGCGAGACCGCTACCGGTTGTTTCTGGAAGGCTCGACGGAAAAGCCTGGACAGGTGCTGGCCACTTACGTCGACCTGGATCGGTGCCGAGACAGCGTCAAAGAAACTCTGCGTGGCCTGGGTGGAGCCGTGGCTGCGACGAACGCCGACCCGACGATGTACGACGTGCCGTTTCTGGACAGCGTTAAGGCTAATTTGGATAAAGCGCTTAAAGAACCAGGTCGAGACAGTTACGCCACGCTGGGAGACCTGATCGCCTTCGTCACCGAGAAGACGGTTGCGCCACGGAACAACAACGAGGAGAAGTTTCTCGTCATAGACAGCCTGGTCACCTACGTGTTCAGTGGGAATCCCGTCCCGGACTGGGCCAAGCCCACGTGGGACGACTTTTTGTGGACGGACCAGATGGTGTTTGTTCGCACACCATCTGTTCGATCGTTGGCAGCTTACGTGCTCGACACCCTCACGGTCCCATTCGAGAAGCGACCCGACAAGATGAATCTTTTCTCCATGTCCGACACGAGTGGGTTTTCGGTGCTCAGGCTTCTGGACTCGTCCCACGCCAGTCGGCCTTGTTTCTGCGCCAGCATCCTGATCGAGGTGTACAGCAGGGATGGCACCAAGGACTTTGTACGAGTGCTGTACCGCACGAAGCATGAGCCTTGTCTAGTCCCCATGGAAAAGATGGGGAACCCGTGCGAGCTAACCGAGTTTTTGGAGTTTCTGCGCAGCGTTCCCAAGACCCGCGAGCATAAAAAATAGATATGGCAGCGTCTGTCGCTTTACATGCCATTGCTTTTTTAAGTGTGTACACTGCTGTGAAACCTTCGAGTCCGAGCCTGGCACAAAGGTTGAGTGGGATCCTAAATCGAAACATTGGAATGCCGAAGGTTTATTTGATTTAACATCGTAATTGCAACGTTACATTTAATGACAACAATCATTGTCCTTCATGCTCTCTGTCTCCTAAACGTTTTAACTCTGTCCAACAAAGAATAACCGAGCCCCTTTGAAGAAAAATTCCCTTTTTTTTCAGTTTAAGGAAGTATATAAAAATTTTCTTAATAGAGACTGGTTTCCCACGCGAAATGAATTGCCCAGTACCTTTACTACTTTTCGGACAAAGTATTTACTGATAACAACAAGTCGGTTTTTACGTCCCAAAACGACGATGTCACTAGAGAGATGGAATTACTTGTTAGGAGCTCTGTTTAGCAAAGGCGAGAAAAGAATTACCCGAATCCCAACCCTTGTGGGGCATCGGTTTTATGCGATGCAGTCGGCGAGTGATTGTCTACGCTGCATTTTATTTATTTTTTTGCCCTGATCCGGGCGTAATGAAGTAGACCGGCGTGTTTTTGTATGTGTAGTAGCTGTGTTCACATCTGGGCTTACCAGGAAAGTCGACTACGTTTAAAGGGTAACTTATGGTTGTACTTATGGTTATACTTATGGTCATACCTGCCTTCAGTGTAACCAGCTAGAAGATTTGTCGGTGATTTTTGCTCACACGCTAAAAAAAATGAAACACGCGCACGCTGAAATCCCGCGCGTTCTTCTTTCTGACGTGGTCTCCGCCGCTCGAGGAACCCACATTAAACGCGCTCCCTCGCGGTAGCCGGGCGCGTGATGTGATACTCGCTCATTTTGCTGGGGAGTGCCGGAGAAAACCACGCCACGCGCCCGCAATCTCGGTGGCCATGGTTTCACTCATATAGTTTCCTAAATATACACTAGAGGGAACTCTGGTGCTAGTGTTACATTGTTAAAGTGTAGAACTATCGCCAGACTGGAGTTTCTTTTCCTGCTTCTAAATTGTCAGTCTAATATTGTCACGGGGTCGTGACATGGCCGAAGACAGGAGACTTCTTGTTGGGATGTACCTGTTTATTTGGGCGAACCTGTGCCCGGTAAACAGAAAGTCCAATTACAGCAGCAGTCTCGCAGAGATAGCAGTCTCAGACTGATAACGGCGAACGGGGCGTCGGCCTTCGATCAACAACTGACAAGCGGCGAAGCGCGTCGGCATTTATACTCCCGCCGTCGAATGTTCTAGCGCTATCGCTGGCGGCGGCGTACGTTCCAGAACAATCTGTACCATTCGCACAGTGGGCGTGATCTTATCGAAATGATCTACTACAGTCCGGAACCCTCTCGAAAACTGCAGGCGCGGTTTGCGCTGAGAATTGTGTGGTGTTTTGGGACGATAACAAAAACTTGGGAAATGGAACGTGGCATTGCCCCCCTCTGAAAAAGGCATCGTCTCGATGCTTTAACTAAAGATGAAGGTACAATAATAATGCAAGAAAGTACAATGAATAAATTACGATACAACAATAATACAAAAAAAACACTGTTTCAGTTTGTTAACGCGCATGAAGCGGCTTGAGGCGTGCGACATGGACGACTTCAGGTCGTGATCGGCGTCGTTGAGAGTTCGTGATGCCGTCGGGGACAACCTCGTAATCAAGTCGGCCGATACGTCGAACCACCCTGTACGGTCCGAAGTACCGTCGCAGAAGCTTTTCACTTAGTCCACGTCGGCGTATCGGCGTCCACACCCAAACATGTTCACCGGGCCGGTATTCCACGAAGCGTCGTCGAAGGTTGTAACGGTGGCTGTCGGTCGTCTGTTGATTCTTGATACGGAGCCGCGCAAGTTGTCGGGCTTCTTCGGCGCGATGAAGGTACTCGCTCACATCGAGGTTTTCTTCGTCGGTGACGTTGGGTAACATGGCATCGAGCGTCGTTGCCGGGCTCCTTCCGTAGACCAATTTGTATGGAGATATCTGCGTCGTCTCCTGCACCGCCGTGTTGTATGCGAAGGTCACATACGGAAGAATGGCATCCCACGTCTTGTGTTCGACATCGACGTACATTGACAGCATGTCGGCGATCGTCTTGTTAAGCCGCTCGGTGAGGCCGTTGGTCTGTGGGTGGTACGCTGTCGTCCGGCGGTGGTTTGTTTGGTTGTATGCCAAGATCGCTTGAGTTAAGTCGGCAGTGAATGCCGTTCCTCTGTCGGTGATAAGGACCTCCGGGGCGCCGTGACGTAGGACGATATTTTCGACGAAGAACTTAGCTACCTCGGATGCACTGCCTTTTGGCAGGGCTTTTGTCTCGGCGTAGCGGGTGAGGTAGTCGCTAGCTACCACGATCCACTTGTTTCCGAAAGCCGACGTCGGGAACGGCCCCAGTAGGTCCATACCAATCTGCTGGAAAAGTCGGCAAGGTGGATCAATTGGCTGCAGAAGTCCCGCTGGCCTTGTCGGCGATGTCTTGTGTCGCTGACAGTCCCGGCATGTCCTCACATAACGAGTGACGTCGGTGGTAAGACGCGGCCAGTAGTACCTTTCTTGTATCCTCGCGGGCGTGCGAGAAACACCGAGGTGCCCTGCCGTCGGATCGTCGTGCAGGGCCAGCAGGAGTTCTGGTCGCAGAGCTGAAAGCACCACAAGGAGATACTTAGCCCGAAGCGGTGAAAAGTTTTTCTTTTGTAGAAGACCGTTTCGTAGAAAAAATGACGCAAGTGCGCGCTTGAATACCTTCGAGACTTCGGCGGTCCTGCCTTCGAGGTATTCTATTAGGGCCTTATGTTCCGGGTCGGCCCGCTGTCGTTCAGCGAAGTCGTCGGTAGTTATCGTTCCCAAGAAGTAGTCGTCATCCGGGTCGTCGGGTAGCGGTTGGTCGACAGGCGCACGAGAGAGACAGTCGGCGTCGGAGTGTTTTTTGCCGGACTTGTAAATGACAGTAATGTCATATTCTTGAAGTCTCAGGCTCCATCGTGCGAGGCGACCTGAAGGGTCCTTCAAAGTGGCTAGCCAACACAAGGCGTGGTGGTCGCTCACAACTTTGAAGGGCCTGCCGTAGAGGTATGGACGAAATTTCGACGTAGCCCAGATGATGGCGAGGCACTCCTTTTCTGTTGTGGAATAATTTGCTTCAGCTTTGGATAGCGATCGGCTGGCGTAACTAATAACCCTTTCAAGTCCGTCAGCCCTCTGCACAAGAACGGCGCCAAGACCTACGCTGCTTGCGTCAGTATGTATTTCTGTCTCGGCGAATTCGTCGAAATGGGCAAGTAACGGAGGCGTCTGGAGGCGATGTTTAAGCTCCTGGAAAGCGTGTTCCTGTGGCGTTTCCCACTTGAACTCGAAGTCGCCCTTGGTAAGGTTATTGAGAGGATCGGCGATGTGGGCGAAGTTTTTCACGAACCGCCTATAATAGGCGCACAGGCCCAGAAATCGGCGCACGGCTTTCTTGTCAGTGGGCGGCGGGAATTCGGCGATGGCGGCTGTTTTCCGTGGATCAGGACGAACTCCAGACTTGCTGATAACGTGCCCCAGAAACAAGAGCTCTTCATACGCAAATCTGCACTTTTCTGGCTTCAGTGTGAGTCCGGAAGTCTTGATGGCTTGAAGTACAGCTTCAAGGCGCCGAAGATGCTCGTCGAAACTCGAGGAAAACACGACGACGTCGTCCAAGTACACAAGGCAAGTCTGCCACTTCAAACCTGCGAGTACTGTATCCATAACGCGTTGAAAAGTTGCAGGCGCTGAGCAAAGGCCGAAGGGCATCACCTTAGACTCGAAGAGGCCGTCCGGTGTTATCAACGCCGTCTTCTCTCGGTCTCTTTCGTCGACTTCGATTTGCCAATAGCCAGTCTTGAGGTCCATTGACGAAAAGTACTTGGCGTTATGGAGCCGATCAAGTGCGTCGTCTATTCGTGGGAGAGGATACACGTCCTTTCTTGTGATTTTGTTCAGGCGGCGATAATCGACGCAGAAGCGTAGGGTCCCATCCTTTTTCTTCACTAACACCACGGGGGATGCCCATGGGCTCTTGGACGGCTGGATAATGCCATCCCGCAGCATTTCATCAACTTGTCTCTTGATGGCCTCACGTTCTCGCGTCGAAACCCTGTACGGACTCTGACGGAGTGGTCTGGCATTTTCTTCGGTTATGATGCGATGTTTCGTGATTGGGGTCTGCCGAATTTTCGATGACGACGAAAAGCAATCTTCGTATTGCAGGAGCAGGGCCTTGAGCTGTTCTTGCTTATCGTTCGGAAGTCTGGGATTGACGTCGAAAGCTATGGGAGGGGCTTGGTTCCTCTGAGCAGGTTCCGCAGAATCGGCGAGGGCGAAAGTACTGGTGGCTTCGACAATTTCTTCGATGTATGCGACCGTTGTTCCTATGTTCACATGTTTGTACTCATTGCTGAAATTTGTGAGCATAACCGTTGCTTTGCCTTCCCGCAACTCTGCAATTCCTCTTGCGACGCAAATATTTCGGGTGACCAACAGATGCTGACTGCCTTCAACAACGCCTTCGAAGTCAGGTGATTCAGGAGCGCCGACTAAAATAATGACGCTTGAGCGAGGCGGGATGGTGACTTGTTCTTCCAGCACATTCAAGGCATGGTGTCCAGACGGCGTGCGCGGCGGTAGTGCTTCTTCTGTGGATAACGTTATCGACTTTGTTTTTAGGTTGATGACAGCACCATGGAGGCATGAGAAGTCCATGCCAAGGATAACATCTCTCGAGCAACGCTGTAGAACTACGAAGTCTGTAGGATAAATACGGCCGTTAATGGTGACTCTCGCTGTGCAGACTCCTGCAGGCGTTACGAGATGACCTCCGGCTGTGCGGATCTCAGGGCCTTTTCAAGCTGTCCTAACTTTCTTTAACTTCGCGGCAAACGACCCACTGATGACAGAATAGTCGGCTCCAGTATCGACGAGAGCGGTCACACTGTGGCC